AGTTATGTTAATGATGTACTATGGAATCAGAGACTAGGTCATAAATCAAAGGCTCATAAATGAAAAAACACTCATCGGTCAATGGATTGAAAATGTAAAATTCTGAAAACAATTATGAACTTGTACATTAGGTAAAATAACACGCATCTATAAAAGGTGAAATTAAGCAATCTGAGATATTTAGATTATGCACTAGATTTAGTTTGGACAATTGAGAAATCAATAGATGGAAGTTGTTATTTTAACCGTGGTAGATGATTACAGTAATTTCATATTTGTGATAACATTGAGAGAAGAGTGAAACTTCAGAGCTCTAATCAAACTATCATTCAAGAGAAAGACAAACAAGAAAGAAACTAAAAAGAATTCGTAGTGATAATGGTATGAGTTTTTAGCTAAAATATAAAAGAATTTTTTGAAAAAATGGGAGTTAAACATGAACGTACCACCTTTACTCCGGAAAGTAATGAAATGCTGAATTTAATCGTACTATAAGTGAAATCTGATAGAACTATGTTAAGTGCAGTTACCGATAAAATTTTGGTCTGAAAGCTTTTAAAGCTGTACATGTGAATAACAGGAGTCACAAAAGATAAAAGGTACATATATAAAGGACGCAAGCCTAACATTACTTATCTTACAAGATTTGATGAAGCATATGATCATAGACAAAAACGTAGCAAGATGGATTAAAAGCTAAAAAGGAATTATGATAGGCTATAGCTGAAGAGAAAAGCATACAAAATTATATCCCTGACCAAATAAAATCAAGAGGAGAGATGTAATTGATGAACAGAAACTTGGATCACCTTTACTAAGAAAAGTATTTAAATTTCGATAAAAATCCAATATTAGAAGAATATATTTTTTACAAGGAACAAACTAAGGAATGGTAATAATTCAGAATAACTAACAGATACTATAGAGAAGATAATCAACAGATGAAGAAGCTGAAAATTTTGCCATCCAATAGTGATGATGAACACGAAGATAACAATTCATTGGAAAGCAAACCGAGTATCGCAAATAAATGAAGAACCTGGAAATGATAATCATGGAATCCTGTACAGAAAAGACCAGCGTGAATTACGAAGCCCCCAGAAAATAAAAGATATGTAGTATAAAAACAAATGAAGGATTTTAATACGAGTAGGATGAGCTATAGAATCTGTGATTGATACAAGCAATGACAGAAGAATTGAGTTCAATGGAGGCTAATGTAGTCTGGAATAGTTGAAGACCCATCGATAGAAAGTATTAAAAAACCGCTGGATATTCTCAAAAGGAATGAAAAGAGTAATTAGAACAATTTACAAAGCAAGACTAGTAGCAACCGGATTTAATCAAAGAAAAGGAATTGATTATGAAGATGGATTTAGCCCAGTAATGAGACTTGCAACCTTTAGAACATACTATCGATTGCAGTTTACAAAAACTACCAAATAAGATTTTTCGATGTAAAACTGCATATTTAAATGGATACTTGGATAAACCAATTTAAATGGAACACCACCTGGCTTTATATCAGATCCGAACAAAGTATATCTTGTAAACAAAAGTATATATGGATTACCACAATCAGGAAAATGCTGGTATGATGAATTATGTAAAGTCTTAAAGAAAGAATTTAACTAGACTAAAATCAGATCCGTGTGTTTATATTTATAAAGATAAGATCAAATATTTTATCATAGCAGTATATGTGGATGACTTAATGGTGATTGGAAATTCAAATTCTGAGATAAATGACATCATCTCTCAACTATCTAAATCGTTCACATTACGAGATGTCACTCAAAAACAAAAATTTTTAGGCATAGACATCCGGCAAGAATCTGGAAAACTTATACTCAATCAAGAAAACTATATAACTAAAGTCTTAAAAAACTTTGAAATGGATGAATGTAAACCTATCAAGACTCCAGGAATATTGTGAAAATCTTGATGACATAGCATCTTCACCACCTGTGCGAAGACAAAATATCAAGAAGCATTAGGTTCATTGATGTACTTAGCAACAGGCACAAGCCAGACTAGCTTTTGCAGTAAGTAATTGTCAAGATATAATCAAGATCCCAGAGAAACACTGGAAAAGCTGTAAAGAGGATATTTAAAGATATATTAAAGGAACACAAAAACTTGTTTAGTGTATACTTCAGACAAGGGAAATTAAATGCTACATCAGATGCAAGTTGGTGTACCACTGAATGGAATGGAAAATCATTGGAGGTTTTCATTAAATTAGGCAAAAATTTCATAAATTGGAAGTGCAACAAACAAAAAATAGTTGCTCTATCTACAATGGAAGCTGAACTTTTAGCATTCTGCGAATGTGCATGTGAAGTTAAATGGTACATCTTTTTACTTAAAGAATTGGTTCAAGATGATCGAATTGACAAACCAACAGAAATTAAAACAGACTGTCAAGCATTAATAGATTGGATTAAAAAACCAAAACAAAGTAGCAGTTCAAGGCACATTAATAGAACATATTTTTTTTGTTAAGGATGAATATGAAATGAATCAAATCATTCCTCAGTTTGTGTGTTCACAAAATCAAGAAGCAGATATTTTAACAAAGTATCTACCTAGGGTGAAATTAAAAGATGAACTATTAAAGTATGGACATGACTGACTGATTAAAATTATATCTTTAAATACAAATAAGGGGGGAATTGATAGTATTTAATTATAAAGTATAACTTTAGGTTTTAATATTTTGGCAACATTGATATAAAAAAATTGTAAAAAGAATCAGTTAAAAATGTATCTGGAATTGAGAGAGTTTTTTATTGTTATGGTTTGGTAGAATGTGGTAAGATTTCTTATGACTGATTTTCTATAATAAAGGTTTCTTTTTGTATATTGATATAATGTATTTTTGTTAGAAGTGGATGATTCTTTTGAGAATGTTATATATATGCCAATCTTAAAAAACCAACACTATGGCGCCCAGGCACCCTGGTGGTTAAGCACCGCAGTTCAAATACCGTGTAGTATTTTCAGAAAAATTTTCTTTACTTCTGAAACTCATATTGCATAAGAATGTTTCAATTTATGCACAGAAATTTACTGAGCGTAAAAGGGGCGTATCGATAATCTTACACGATGTTCGGATATCACGTGACCTCCCTGCGCGTTCGGGGATTTAGCGCTGACCATGATGATCCGTTTTAAAAATTCAGTAATATAACGAAAATTTAAACCTTTTTGAAGGAAATCAGGAATTTTACAAAAGCTTAGCAACTCTATGGGAATTGAATCACATTTCATGCAATTTAACAGTAAAAATGTCACAGAGCAAAATTACGAACCTTCTGTCAGTAATGTCTTTCGTGCATGTATAAAGCTAGTTTTTGGTAATCTTTTTAATTGATAAGAATTCTTTAATTAATCAGAAGACACAAATTTCAAATCTCGTTTATTAATAATATCATAGCCTATCTATTTATTACTACAGAACCATGTGTAAATGTTTGATTTGGCGGGCAAAAAGGTTTGGTAGAAGAGGTAGAAAGGTGTGTATTTTGTTTTTATTTGAGTTTCATCGAATTATAAAATAGCATGTAATTCAAAGGAGACATAACTCTTTATCCCATCTAGTGAAAACCTTAATTTCGGAAGATGACAATTAAAATAATAAATTATAAACAGGATGATAGGTTAAATATATCTTTGCCATTGATTGTTGGTGAAGTTTTTCCTGGTGGCGATAGCACTATAGAAATTCTAAATAAGGCTTTAAGTGCTGAATCTGTTATTTGGCCTGTTCTAAATGGAAGATTTAAAGTATTAGTCCATTTGAAACCTGGTGAAAATAAAATTGGTTTTAAATACAAGGACCATATCCTAGATTTTAATTTGATATATGAACCTTTAAAGTTTAAAAGATTCATTCGTTTAGTTTATATTAAATGTAAAGATGATGAAGGCCGATTTCAGGCTCCTCCTGAGGAGAATAATTCCATCTACAGTGCCTGCAATCGAATACGACTTGGTGCTCGAATGCTTCAAACATTTACGGGTGACAAAATTGGAGATCATAAACTGCAAAGAAAAACATTTTGTCTTGAAGAGAATAATGGAGATGTAATATGTCATGTATTTACTAGTTCTTTAACTCTAAATGAAGCTTACAAACTAAATGATGAACAACTGTGGTCAAATTTTGCAGTTGAATTAATGAATTCAAATCTTAGAGTTAATAATGACTGTAAATTTCTAGCTTTCCTATCATTTACGCGATATCATAATAATACTATGTCACCACCACGGAATTATAAAGAAATTTTGCAAATGACTAAAGGTCAAGTAGCCTTGGGTGGTGGTGGGTTGGCATTATTTGGGTCAGGCTGTTTACACACATGGCCTGAAAATTTGCACGAAGTTCCATGGAGGTTTGGAGATAAAAGACGGATCGATAGAATGCAATTCATGGACGACAGTGCAAACAGGTATGACTTATCATTGTATAAAGTTTAGGAGTGTTAAAAAGACACAAAACATTTATTTCATATTTATATATTATTTGATGTATTATGGAATGGATGCTAAAAATTATTGAATTATTATCTATTATTAGAAGTATTATCGAATGAATACTGAAATTTATTAAATTTGTTTTAGTTATATTATATAAAGTATATATTGTATAATAATTGCATAATTGATATATTTATGTATTTTTGGTTAATCTTCGGATTATGATAACTTAGCGATTTTTTGGCGAAAATTTGGCAACCAACCCTGCTACACCAACCTGCTAGTTTTTTTTTTTTTTTTTTTTTGGACGCCATTTTGTTTTTTTTCACTCAATATTTTTTCCCAACAATCTGCTAGTCGAATTACGCTTATGCTAGAACTTTTATGGAACAAAAGTGCTTAATCATGACGAAGATAGTGCGAAATGGGAGAAGTGCAGAATCGCCCACTGTTGCCGGTTTTTAAGACTTGCACATACACGGTATTATCCATGGACACGTCAACCTATTTGCACTTAAAAAAACATCCCAGAATTGCACAAAAATGGCATTGTGCACACTCTTGACTTTATCCATGTACACTGCTTAAGTCCTAGCTAGTAACCTTTATTGCCTTACCAAAATGTTGCCAAACTACCTGTTACCATATTCCAAAGATTAGCCGTATTTTTTTATCTAGATTTTTATTTTGCCATTAAAAAATTTAGATTAATCTTTCACAGGGGTTTTATTTGAGGATACTTGTGATATTTTTGTTTATTATTGAAATCCATCCCATCATTGAAATTCACCGCAATCATGAAACCAATCTTGTCATATAATAGGGTTTCCATAGCATTCAACTACTCAGGTTACCATAAATGTATGATATGCAAGCAAAAGCAAATAAAAAAGTGCATTAGTTATCAAATAATGTTTAATGAATAAGGTGGAGAAGACAGACTGTCAGTAAAGAATAGACATTTTATTTATTAATACGTTGATCATATCTTATGGAATATTAATTTTAACTACCTATAAATCCAAAAATGCTAAATATAACTATATAAATCTATTAATTCACATGACTTAGATTTAAATTCTAAGCAATATAGTCAGTGTGTGCATCAAAACATACAATAACTGATATATCAGGTACATTTATATGTGTAATGTTAATTTAACCTTTTATACATTAAATTTATTTTGCCTTTTGAGTACTTTATTTCAAGGGGCATTGTCCATCATATAGATGGTAACAACTTTGAATTCATCATATAAATTTATTCTCATGATTAGTCTTCCAATTATGATATAGTGTTGATTTATTAGTGACAGTTCTGAGACAGTTAGCAAATCTATTATTAGGTAGGTGCCTTATACTATTTTAAAGGTTCCTTAAAATGCCATTAATATTAATAGGTAAGTTAATTTAAAAAAATACAATTTTATTATATTTTTGCTAATTTTTTTATCCTGCTGTCAATTATGTGATAAAACAAAATATTCACTTTTTTGGTCGCTTTTGTTTCCATGTCTGTTGTACATGTTGATTATTGTCTAAATCTTGCTTTATATACAGTGTTACTATAACAATAATTTTAGTGCATTCAATTATTTACGTTCTTGCCTTAATATAACGATGTAATCAAACCAAGTCCCAGAAGATAATTAACTTTCATTACTCTCATTTTTTTTCCCTCAAATTTTTGCAAATGAACTGTTATATGATGCTGACTTATTTTTTAAGTAGGATATAATCAGGTGAAAATCGAAAATTAAATAGATAGATTTTTGAGTTAAGCAGGAGGATTTTTAGATAATTTTCAGTTATGAAGAATTTCAAGAAATATGTGAAAAACGGTTTCTGAGATAATCTGTGGTAAAAATATATTTACGGGTGCCCTTTGGTTATTTTGGCAATACATGGACACCGAATTTGTACTATTCTTTGACGTTTTATTTTGGCTTTATGTAGTGCCGATTTTTGGCGCAAAAATCGACGCTACACAAATCCAAACTAACAGGTCAAAAAATTGCACAAACTCGGTATCCATAAAAAACCTCAAAAAGTCACTCCCTTGACTTTGTCCATGTGCACATTGATATATATTCACTTAAAAAGTCAAAGGATGAGCCAACAAAAAAATCTATAATCTCAATAAACTACATTTTAAATCAAACAATGAAATAACATAAAAGAAATTCATGTTATCACTTCACAAGGGAAATATCCATTTAATTATTTACAAATTTCCCTGTCTTCAGTCAAACAAAATTCCTTAACAGCATCCAAAAACTTCCTAAAATTATCTGAACTAGAATCTGTATACTGGCATCGCCACATAAATTCACAAAAATATCCTCCACAGTGCAGGTATCCTCCAACGTTCGACCATATGCATTTCCTTCCTACAATCAGGACACTTATAATGGCAACTAAATGAACCTTTATTTACACACCAGTCAATTAATGTTTTTTTCCCTTTTGTTCCAAATTGTACAGAAACATCAAGTTAACCTTACAATATTCAGCCATTTTACCACGTAAACCACAAAAGAACAGCATAATTCTTATGCAAAATCCATCCCGGTTGATCTTTACAATACGGTAACTGGTAGTTTGGCGACATTTTGGAGGCGATAAAGGTTACTACCTGGGACTTTGGTAATAATGTGTGAGCAGTACTCAGTTCCGATTACGCATTATTTTGTTGAGGGAAAGAGAAGATCATGGGATATGTCATGTGATATATAATGGACGAATTACGGTTCTTGAATCGGAAAAGGGGGGAAATCTGGAAAAATCTAGAAATTTTGTATTTGGTTATTCTGTGTTGTGGAAACAGTGTTGTGAATTTTGGATCCCCATGGCCGTAACTAAAGAAAAGTTTATCGGACCGTAATCAGATTCTGAAAAGATAGGTAAGTTAGTATTTTTATTATTTGAGGATATTATTTTATGCATTGTTCTAAATGTAAGGTGGAAGTAAGGAATTTGTTATGGGAAAATTGTTATCAGCAATGATTTAGTTTAAGTAATTAGGATTGTAAGGTAATTTTATTAATTAATGTATGTGCTCATTTATATTTTAAGTAGTGTCTTGAATTTAATTTATTTTAATGAAATGATAGTTATTGTGAATTTATGTTGTAGGAATTTGGTATACGTTAGTTGAAATAAACGTGCATGGAAATAATTTAAATATTTGATATTAAGTATTTTAATGCTTGCGGTATGAATTCGTGGTGACGTGTATAATGTAATAGATGATTTAGAGGTAAAAGGGTTTGATATTTTCTTTATTTATATGTGGAAATGTTCATATTTGTAAAGGGTAATACTTTTTCGCGATCAGGTATTTCATATATGTTCTTTTACCGGTTTAAAGATGAGAAAATTGTCATGTATTTTCGTGAAATTTTTCTATTTATGAGAAAAAGCAGTGTACATGGATATAGTGAAGAGTGTGCGCAAGCCATTTTTGTGCAATTGGATGTTTTTTAAGTAAAAATAAGTCGCCGTGTACATGGTTTATGTGTATGTTATTTTGAAAAACGCGTAAGAGTATGGTATTGTGCACTTTCCCAATTTTGCAGTGAATATTTGTCATGATAAGCAGTTTTGTTTGATAAAATTTCTAGCATAAGTGTAATTCGGCTAGTAGATTGTTGGAAGAAGTGTTCAGTAGATAAAGAAAAGAAAACATGTCTTTACTTCGTGAAGACAAAATGGCGGCGGGGAAAAAAAAATCGAGGGTTGCTGTAGGAGAGTTGGTCGCCAAATTTTCGCCCAAAAAATGCTAAGTTACCATAATGTAAAGATCAACCTCCATCCCATCATTGAAATTCACCGCAATCACGAAACCAATCATGTCATATAATAGGGTTTCCATAGCATTCAACTACTCAGGTTACCATAAATGAAACAACAACTAGGCGATAAATGAAACAACTTAGCAATAATCTAAGGGGCACCCTTCAATCTACTCTGTATAACCTAACTTGTATATGCCGAACAGCTTGGAAATCACAAGAAATGGGACAAGTTTTTATAATAAGGATTTTGTTTATCTTGAATTGGCTTCAAATGTTGCCTCATTTTGCAGTGTACCTGGAAAGAATGTTAAAATGTATTAAAAATTTTGTGGGAAAGGAAAAAAAAATGAGATGGTGAAAGTATTAATGCCCAGAATGTGTAGATTTATATGAAAAATGAAAGATTTGTATGAAAATGCTTTTCTAGTATCTCATAGTACAGAACTGTCATGAGTATGTTCTTCATTGTGTCCTCAGTTTAATGATGTAGCTGTTAAATGTACTTTTTCAAAAAGGTAATTTGATTTAATTTTTAGTCTTCATTAAAAATTTATCAACTTGATTAAAGAAATTTTCTTAATATCAAGCTTGAAGATTTAAACAATTTTAGATTTATTTTTTACAAATGCTCCACTCAACTCATTGCATGTCAATTAGTATGTACAGTAGAAAGTCTCTAATACAGGCATCCATTATCCAGAATGATCTATAATCAGACCTCAAAGCCACAAACTTATGCATGCGCGTAAAGTGTTTACGTATGCGTGTTTGATGCATGCGTACACTATGCATGCGCATAAAGTCAGTAAAGCGTTTACCCATGCATGCTTCCGATAGTGAAGAAAGTAACAGAGAACGTTAATGAAAACGAAAAAATTTCGATTGACACGTTAGTCGGTATTTTCGACACAGCAATTACAGGACTTGAATAGTGGAACTCTGTAACTGATTAAAAAATTATGTCTGTTTATAGAATTAAAGAGAAAGTATTAGCACAAAAAATGAAGCAACTTAAACAACTTGCATTGATAGAAATGTTTACTAAAGTAAAGAAATAAATATTAAGCTTTTTTTTTTTTTTTTTTTTTTTTGTAAAATTTGATTTTAGATCATTATTGCTCTCTATTTCATAAATTATGGTTTCATATTTTTAATTATTTTATTTCTGCATGCCATCTTACCAGATTTAAATTGATGATCTTTTATCCGGAAAAAACCCGGTACAACCCTAATCTGGAATTGCCGAAGTCCCGACGATTATCTGGATTTTATTGTTGATAAAATTTAAAATATTTTAAATTTCAGTTCTTTTTAATATGGTAGGTATAAAACATGTTCATGATTTTATTCCATGCAATGCTGAAAAATGTAAACACGTTGCATTAACAGTAATGCAAAAAGTGGAAATTTTGTGAAAGATGTAGGGAGATGCTACTCTTCGATTTATAGCAGAATTGTATAGAACTGTGAGATGGATTGCATATGATATATGAAAAATAAAGAAAAGCTGCTGAAATTTTTCGGTAACAGTGATTCTAACACTGGAAATCTTTGCACGAGGCAAAATCAACAAACCTCAACACTGTACACAAGTTGTGACAGAGTGATGGAGTACCCATTTTAGGACTGCTTCTGAGAGAAAAGGGAAAATGGATTCATGCTGATTTAAAAATAGAGAAGATGTGCTACTTTAACAGCAGTTGGCTGAACAAATTTGAGCATAGATATGGTATAAGGTATTTGAAAGCCTGTGGGAGGGAAAAAAAGAAAAAAACTTTCAATAGGTAAAGATGGTGCAGAGGAATTTAATGATGAATTTTCCGTACTGGTGGCAAAAGGAAATTTTAATCCAGAACAGATTTTAAATATAAAAGAGAATAGACTTTTTTGGCAATTTTTGCCAAGAAAGGCATTTGTGACAAGCATAGAAAGGGTACCATCAGGGGTGAGAGAAGCTAAAGAAAGAGTTAATATTTTAGTATGCAGCAATGCATCTGGAACTTAAAATGTAAACTATAATGTAAACCAATGGCAGTGGGTAAGAGCACCAATTCTGGAGCTCTGAAATGAGTAAAATGCTTATGTTTGATTTACAGAAATAATAAAAATTCCTGTTACATGAAATAACTTATGACTGAATGATACATTGAATATTTCATTAAAGAGGCTAGAAAGCATTGTAACAGTGTGGGATTACCATCAAATTTCAAGATTACATTATTGTTAGACAATTGCTATGCACATTCAGATGCAATCATTTTAGCATGTGATAGTGTTGTGGCTCTTTTTTTGGGGGGGGGCGAAACATTCCATCATTGATCAAACCAATGGACTGAGCCATAATACAGAGTATTAAATGTCACTACAAATCTGAGGTTCTGAAAAAATTCTTTCAATAGACCATTCTGTTTCCCTTTGTGATTATAAAACAAATTTCACCATCAAAGACTGCATGTGTTTGTTAGCAGAATCATGGAATTTTGTTTCCTAAAGAATATAAGTAAATGGCTGGCCATAATATACAGTCATCTTCTCTTTTGAAACGGAGAGCCATGACAGTGACTTTTCTGTTTTTAGGGTCACTGCAACAAAGGTGAAAGCAAGAGAATTGCTTCTGTATTTGAAAGAAAGAACAAATGAGGAGAATTTGCAAGAAGCCAATATTGTTGACTGGATGATGTGTTCAGAATAAGCCAACACTGGCATATCTGATGGCCAATGATGAAATTATTGGCTCTATTTTGAACTCAACACAGCAAAAAAATGATTCTTTCACTGACACAGATAAGGAATTTGGTAAGAATGAGGAGGAATCTTTTAAAGAAGGTTTGTAACATAGTGAAAAATACCTAACATTTCTAGAATGGCAGAGCTGTATCAGAGAACAAGAGATTATGTCTCTATATAATTTACAGGAAAAATTTACCCTGAAGCACCCTAAAGTTTTAAAACAAACCTGTATCAGAAAAATATTTGAAACATATAAAAAATGAAATATTTTATGCTTTATTAATGCCCTTTATTTTCATGGCTTTATTTTCTATGTCCTTATTTATTCTGCACTTTTAGTCTAAGTCTTGATTTATTTTCACTGTTTTGAAATCCTCAAAATCCTAAAATCCAAGCTTTGTGGATTTCTTGTCTTTCATTGCAGTGTCCTATACTTGCTTTACAAATGTCTTATTGGTTTACTTTTTCGGAGGGGAGAAGCTTTCAAAATTCTAAAATATTCTGATTACTTGAGCATTCTTGTTAATTGAATGACTGGTAGTCGAGGTTTTAAGGTATACATTTTATCTGAATAGATATTTTGATTCTTCTAATTCATAATGAAATGAAAGTGATTATGAAACGTTAAGCCCACTGTCTGTGACCCATTAATCTTTTGCATTATGAAGGACATCATAAAAAGAGCAGATCAATAAAAAATTCTATATTAATTTTGATTTCTTTTTAATATTTTGCTTAGGTTAGAGTAGACTGAAGAGTACCCCTTGTATTATTTTAAAGTTCTTGTTTCATTTATCACCAAGTTGTTGTTTTTTTTATTGCCAAGTTGTTGTTTCATTTATGGTAATCTGAGTAGTTGAATGTTCCGTAAATAAACTTTTACCTAGAATTGTGTGCTTCTGTAACTTTTTAAGTGAAAATATATCAATGTGTCCATGGACAAAGTCAAAGGAGCGCAGAATGCCAAGTTTGTGCAATTCTCTGAATTTTTTTCTAAGTGAAAATAAGTCGACGTGTACATCGTCAAGTCAAGGGAGTGTGCAGTGCCTAGTTTGTGCAATTCTGTGATTTTTTTAAGTAAAAATAGGTCAATGTGTACCGAGTTTGTGCAATTCTTTGACTTGTTATTTTGTCTTTGTGTAGTAGCGATTTTTGGCACTAAAATTGCTGCTACACAAAGTCAAAATAACAAATCAAAGAATTGCACAAACTTAATATCCCTGTACCTCCAAAAATCACTAATTTTCGCCAAAAGGTACCTGTAAATATACTTTTTCTGAATAGTTATATAAGAGATTTATTTGCTAACTCCTTTTTATCTCCTCCTAAAGGTAATCACAGTGGATGCAACAAAACTGTGGAAATTGATGAAAACTTATTTACAAAAAAAGGGAAAAATTTTAGGTCATATTCGCTCTCTGTTAGTGGGTTTTAGAAGATTTTGCTGTGAAATTAGAAAATGTTCCTTGTTACTATTCCCGAAGGGATCGGAAAAGAAATAAGCCCAAATTTACTAATATGGTTTTAGAAATCCAAGGCATGGCTTTAACAGAGGAGTATCAAAATTCCTTATTTATCCTATCGGTTATTACCTATGGACAATTTTCATATTCACCAGAATTTCAACTAAAAATCAGTTTTAGGTATGATATCAGTAGCAAAGCCATATTTAATTTGATGTAATTAATAAAATATCATCTAATTCATTAACTGATTTGTAATTTTTCAGTTTTTTAAGTAAAAGTTTATAAATGTTCATGACATCTTTGGAACTCAAATAGATATTTTTATATACCTGCTAACTCTGCTGAAATGATATAAAAATGTCGGAATGTGTAAGGCATCGCACAACATATCAGAAAACTAAATTCTACTGAATACTGAAAATAAATTTTATTAAATTTCCTAATGTGTGTGTATATATTTTTTCAGGGAATTGATTTAGTCACTTTTGAAAAAAAAACAACAATTTAGTTTTTTTGAAGGAATTCATGCAGAGTGTAAGATACCCTGTTGTGTGTGCTTGTGGATTAAAAATTTATTACTGGCATTAAGAATTTGAATAAATTATATTGTGTGATTAATATGTTATAAATAATGAATTTTCTGTTTTTTGAAATATGCATTATAGTTTTACTTTAATTATTATTTTTTAAAATTCTTTAGGGGCTGGTATTGGGCATGCTATTCTACAGGGCTTGGTGCTACTTTGCATGAATTAGGACATACATTTGATTTGGGTCATACAAAAAGTGGAATTATGGGAAGAGGTTTTGATGATATTTACAAGTACTTCATTGTTGACATGTTTTATCATGATCACATGTTTCAAAAGCTGTACAATCCTTATTATCAGGTATATCATTCAGAAATTTAAATTTTTTAATGTTGTGGGAAAATTTTTAAATATTAATAGTTTAATATTTAATGTTTATAAATAATATTAAATACAGGGTGTCTCACTCAAAAGAGGCCTTGGTGAAAAGTCTGATAAAAATCTATAATAAAAGGAAACAAAAACAAATTTTTACTGCCATATATAAACTTTTGCATTGTTGTGGACTTTTTCCATACTTATGCCTTCTGGAAGCATTTTTTTTTTTTTTTTTTCATTTTCAAGGAACTGATATATTACTAATTTGTAATAAATCTGTCAGTAGTTTTTATAGCCTAGGTTTGACATTTAAAGAATATCAAGGAAAATGATTATTTTCCCTTGAAAATTAGTATCTTTATCATAATGAACACCAAAATCAGAAAATTTTTTTGGCAGACTTTTATTTTCTATAAAGTGCATGAATCCTTTAATCCTTTAAAATATATCAAGTTAAATTTTTTTAAGATAATTAATTCAAATAAGAATTGAATTTTGCTTTTCATTAAAGTTTAATTTGGTGTACAATTTTTAGAACACCATCTTATCACCATTATTATTATTATATTATTATTATTATTGTTACACACCATGAAAATCATATATTTCTGTAATATTATATTTATTCATTTAGGTTTCTTCTGTGCAGAACTGTACTGTCTCCTTATCTCCAACATCACCTGTATCTTGGGAGCCTGAAATAGAAACACCGTTGTACAACCTTCATTTTCAAAACATTAATGATAGCACTCAGTCCAAAGAAAAAGTTAATAGCAATAATTTAACCCATAACCGAGGTAATTATTTGAAATATCTCTTCTAGCTTTAAAATTCCCTTTACAGAATTCATTTATAGTTTTATATCGTGAATAATAAAAGCGAGACATGCAGTTGAAAAATTTATAAAGATAAGGGCTTATACTTTTGTTAATGCAATTCAGTTAATATACTTTATTATTTGACAATCCATGCTTTTGTTAATCATGAAATAAAATTTAAATGAATTTTGTAAAGAGAATTACTTAGCCTCTTGTTTCCATGAAAAAGTGTAGTAAGTTATTTTTCTTCTAATAGTTCATTAATTAAGACACAATAACATGCCGAATAAATAGTAATTCAGAAGACAAACAACAAAAATCAGCGTTATATTTACAAAATTTCCACAGGTCTAGTTTCAATGGTTTTACCGAACCACCATCCTCAGCTGCAAAATCGCAAATGAACAAGATAGGAAAAAATGATTAGATAAGATAAGAAAGCCTGGACAAGAATAAGCAAGTAGTGCCATCTGTTGGTGAAACCAGAACTAAAACATAATTTCTTTAAAGGCCGAAGGCAAATTTGGATTGAAATTAGGATCGTTAACTAGAACAGAAAGATTTTTATGAATGGAAAATGCCTCTAGAAAATCCAGTTCTCCAATGGAAGATGTTTTTTGAATAATTTTGGCAGGAGAAAATTGAAAGTGTGATTTTCAGACCAAAAAGTTGCGCAACAGAAGACTTCTGTGTTTCCTTTTTTCTAACATATGCCTCATGTTCCTTGATGCGAAATTTAAGGCTCTCTTAGTTTGGCCAATGTAAATTAAACCACACCGGCAAGGAATCTTATAAATACCCAGGAATTCATATCCGGAATGGGGTCCTTAAGTATGGAACTCGGAATTTTATGAGGGAGAATAAACAACCCAAAAGTTAAATTTCTGCAAATATGTCCAACTTTATAGCTAATTGATGGGAAGAAGGAAATGACAACAGAATTTTTATAATCTCCTAAAACAAGAGTGTGCCTTTTAGTGTGTGAGATGAGAATTTTTAACTGCTTGATTAATAATGTGGGTGAAAAGCCCCTGTAAATAGCTATTGCTTTTAAATAATTTAGTTTCTCATCAAGGCTAGTTTGGAGGAGCAAACTTGAAGAGCACAGAAAACATAGGAATAAAATGAAGCTAACTTTTGTTTAGTCGGATGACATGATTTAAAGTGTGGTGGAAGGCAAACCGATGAAGGTTTACGGTAAACTGTAGTACTGAAGTTAGATGTGTTACGTGTGACCAGAATGGCAAGAAACGGAAGAGAATTGAAAGTCTCAAGTTCAAAAGTGAACTGAATAGCAGGATCAATAGAATTCATTGTTGAAAGAACTTTATTTAAATCATCTTTATTACCTTCAAAGAGGGTAAAAGTATCGTCTACATAGCGGAATCATGCCGGGAAGTTTAAAGTTTCAAATAATTTTGATTCATAATAATGCATGTAGATATCAGCCAGGATGGGACTGAGGGGGTTTCCCATGGCTAATCCCTCAGTTGCTTGTAATATTTATTTTGGAAAACAAAATGTGTTTGTTTCAAACAGAGTTGAGTGAGAGAAATTAGCTCATCAATTTCGATGCAAGAGAAATGAAATTCGCGAAGTCTGGTTTCTAGACATCTGCTGTTTTTTCTGCTGTTTTGTGTGTGCTTTATTATTTTTCTGCTGTTTTGTGTGTGCTTAGTTAATTTAGTTTGATTTTCTGCATTGTTTATCATGCCCTCATCCGTTAATCATTTCACTAAATTACGCCTGAAATGGCAAAAATTCCTGAATCATCTTGACTTTTTACTTAAATGTAAATGTAAAAAATTGATTCCCAATTTTATTCAAATCAAATCTAATCAAAAACCTTCGAGTTGCGTTTCAAGAATTCTGTTAAATTGCAAGCTTGCGTTACTTCGGTCCGTCATAAGGGATACACGTCAACAATTGTCCAAAATTGAACATGAACTCTATAAGCTTCATCTGGAACTCGCTAAATCATATCCAAAATTCACTGCCCTTGAACAAAAGTCTTGGTCTAGAAAGGGAATGCCGTTAACCGTCATAAAAAACACCCTTGCAGTTAAATTCGAAAAAAACTCCTTTTACAGTCTTCCAGTTCAAGTAGTTCAAAAAATCTTCCTATTGTAAACATCAAGCCAATAGTTAGTATTTCTAATGTTATTCTTTCAGAAGAACAAGAGAGAATTCTAAAATATAATTTTGACTTCTCACAAACCTGTAAACCCTCGATTCCAAAGATTTTGGCTCCTATCGAAAAAGCTTTCAAGTTCAGTAAAGAAATGATTAGGCATCTTATCGCTCATAATATGAAATTCAATAATAAACCTTTGAAACCAAATCTAACTGCGAGAGAAAGAGCTACAATGTGCGAAATTCATTCTAACCCGGATATTATCATTTCAGAGGCCGACAAAGGTGGCCAGATAGTCGTCATGGATAAGAACACTTACATCGATGGTGTCACTAAAACGAAGGACCATATAATCCAATCCCTAAAGATCCTTCACCTTCCGACTTGTCAAAAATAAAAACTGCGATCAAATCTTCGCAAATCATTTCAAGCAACTTAAAACATTTGCTTATCCCATCTGTCGCGAATTTTGCCAGGTTATATGCTCTTCCCAAAATTCATAAAAGTGGTATTCCTTTCCGCCATATTGTATCAAATTTAGGTACTGCCTCGTATCCATTAGCTAAATATTTGGTTTCTAGATTTTCCACTCTCTTAGACAATAACACTTACACCATAAAAAATTCAATAGAATTTGTAAAAAAGGTTATAAACATTTCTCCTAGTAATTTACTCATGGTTTCTTTTGATGTAAAATCATTATTCACCAATGTCCCGGTGGAGGGTGCATTAAGATGTCTAGAAACCAGACTTCGCGAATTTCATTTCTCTTGCATCGAAATTGATGAGCTAATTTCTCTCACTCAACTCTCTTTGAAACAAACACATTTTGTTTTCCAAAATAAATATTACAAGCAAACTGAGGAATTAACCATGGGAAGCCCCCTCAGTCCCATCCTGGCTGATATCTACATGCATTATTATGAATCAAAATTGTTTGAAACTTTAAACTTCCCGGCATGGTTCCGCTACATAGATGATACTTTTACCCTGTTTGAAGGTAATAAAGATGATTTAAATAAAGTTCTTTCAACAATGAATTCTATTGATCCTGCTATTACTTGCAGTTCTCTTCCGTTTCTCGACATTCTGGTCACACGTAACACCATCCAACTTCAGTACTACAGTTTACCGTAAACCTTCATCGGTTTGCCTTCCACCACACTTTAAATCATGTCATCCGACTAAACAAAAGTTAGCTTCATTTTATTCCTATGTTTTCCGTGGTCTTCAAGTTTGCTCCTCCAAACTAGCCCTTGATGAAGAACTAAATTATTTAAAAGCAATAGCTATTAACAGGGGCTTTTCACCCAACATTATTAATCAAGCAGTTAAAAAATTCTCATCTCAACACACTAAAAGGCACACTCTTGTTTTAATAGATTATAAAAATTCTGTTGTCATTCCCTTCTTTCCATCAATTAGCTATAAATTTGGACATATTTTGCAGAAATTTAACTTTAGGGTTGTTTATTCTCCCATCAATAAAATTCCGAGTTCCATACTTAAGGACCCCATTCCGGATATGAATTCCTGGGGTATTTATAGGATTCCTTGCCGGTGTGGTTTAATTTACATTGGCCAAACTAAGAGAGACTTAAAATTTCGCATCAAGGAACATGAGGCATATGTTAGAAAAAAGGAAACACAGAAGTCTTCTGTTGCGCAACATTGTTGGTCCAAAAATCACACTTTCAATTTTTCTGCTGCCAAAATTATTCAAAAAACATCTTCCATTGGAGAACTGGATTTTCTAGAGGCATTTCACATTCATAAAAATCTTTCTGTTCTAGTTAATGATCCTAATTCCAATCCAAATTATGTTTTAGTTCTGGTTTCACCAACAGATAGCACCACTTGCTTATTCTTGTCCAGGCTTTCTTATCTTATCTAATCATTTTTTTCCTATCTTGTTCATTTGCGGTTTTGCAGCTGAGGATGGTGGTTCGGTAAAACCATCGAAACTAGTCCTGTGGAAATTTTGTAAATATAACGCTGATTTTTGTTGTTTGCCTTCTGAATTAGAGTTCATTAATTATTTTCTGATTTTTAAATAAAAGCAAATTTTATGAAAATAGTTTGTTTTAAATATTTATTTGCATATTTTAAGTCAGTAATAGATATCAGTTAAATTATCGAGTTGAAAAATGATAATTTTTCAGCAATGAAAATCACTCTTTTACTTTCAACAGCTCTGTTGCATCAAATGATTGATACAGTTGAGCAGTTTTTGAAAATTGGCCAAAAATTCAGAAATTAAGTTACAATTTTCATATAATTTTTTAGAAGGTCTTTTTCCCCATTTTATTTGATAGTGCAAACAGCAAAATTTTGATATCTTTAGTGTGTTTGTTAAACAAGCTAAAAAACATTTAAACATTAAATTAAAAAAAATTCTAAATGGAATTTTGAAGAAAGTGCTTTACCACATTGCATTGCCATCCATAAACGGTGTGTGTACAAAGTTTGAACTCTATAGCTTATGAAGAAATAAGTTAAAAATCAATGACAAAAGTCTGACCATAGTGGAACACCATGAATGTTGAAAATAAAAGTTTATAAATACACTCAACTCAGTTATGTGAAAAATACTTAAGCCAAATTTTTTCTAAATATATTTATTAAAGTCTGATAATTTAAAACTAAAATATAGAAAATAAAATATTAATAGTGATAAAAGTGGAGTTTTATACTTTTGAATTCAGACTGAATTTAAACAACATTTAGAACAGATATGCATCTTTTGAAAAGTATAAAATGTGCATTTAAAGTATTATTGCAATATGTGTTAGAGAAGTAGTTCCCTTTGCAGATATGCGGTATGTTCATTGAAAGAAAGTTTTATTGGTTTTATCTTTTGGAATATATCTATTAACCCAGATTATATGTTCAAGAGTTTTATTTGTATGAAGAGTTCTGAGGTTCCTACAAGTTATATTTTTTAACAGGCAAAATTTCTTCAGTTGATTATTTTCTGAAAAGTATTTTAATTTTTTAAAGTTTGAGTTTTCGGTTAGGAAATTTTCCTTCTGATATCTCTTATAGAAATGTTTAAAACATGAGTAAGTAGATGATATTATAGGTAATAATATACAATCAAAAGTCGTTAATGCGGACTCATCGGGACTTCGGCGATTCCGGATTATTGATTTTTACAGATTATAGATCATCAGTTTAAATCTCCTAAGAAGGCATAAAGAAATTCTAAAATTAAAAATATGAAACCGTAATTTATGAAATAAAGAACAATTATGATCTAAAGGGTATCAAAATTTACAAAAAAAAAAAAAAAAAAAAAAAAAAAAAGCTTATATTTATTTCTTTACTTTATTAAAACATTTCTTTTAATGCAAAGTTGTCTTATGTTGCTTCGTTTTTTATGTGCTAATACTTTCTCTTTTAATTCTGCAGACAGACATAATTTCTTGTTCAGTTACAAAGTTCTGCATTGTTCAAGTCCTGTAATTGCTATGCCAAGAATTACCGACCTAACTTGTCAATCGAAAATTTTTTCGTTTTCAATAACCTTTCTGTCACCTTCTTCATGTCTTTATCCATTTTTTTGCAGCAATTCCACTTTTTGTTTGATGGACATCAAAACATACTTTCGTTTTGTAGATCCTTTGGGAGCTCCAGCATCGGAAATTCTATTTGACATAATCAAAAGTTCAAGTTTACTTTTATAAAATTGCTCTTACAGTCTGCAAAAAATAATAAGCTGCATCCAATTCGAAGATTAAGGAACAACGCAATCATCAACATTAACTGAAATAGATAATTTTATCTTATACCGTTCGTTATACATTAAACGCGCACGCGAAAACATATTTTGCATTTGCGCACATGCATATGCGCAGTCATAAAGGTCTTACGCGCACGCGTAAATGCCTATGCGCATGTGTCAAAGCGGCGCATGCGCAGAAAGTTTTTAGCTTTGAGGTCCGGATTATAGATCATTCCGGATTATGGGTGTCTGAATTAACGACTTTTGACTGTATATGCTACTGCATTTATTACAGTTATTTCATGCTTAGGTGTACCATCTTTAACAGCTTATTAAAGGATTGTTATATGTGTCAAATAAAATTTTTGTCCTAATTTTTGTCATTTATATGGAAAATGTTTGAATAGTGTGAATGGGATTTTATACAGAAAATTTGATTGATAATCATTTTGAAATTTATAAAACATTACTTGAAATATTATGCCTTTTTGTGTGTGTGATGAGAGGCTGCAAACAGAAAATGTTCTTACCATAATGCTTTCATATCTTTTCACCTAACCTTTGAATTTATATCTGAGGTTTGATAAAATTGAGTTTATTTGTGTTGCATTAGATATGCATTACCTATAGTGGTAAGAATTTTTTTCCTTTGTCATCTTTTAAATTTGTACGCATGCAACATTATATATTTCTCTGTTAATATTTTTACAGATACAGTTTCTTCTAGAATGTTGAAAGGTATTCAAGATTTTTCTTTAATTATTCTCTTTTGTATTAAGGAGTGCTTTTTAAGAGAGAAATTAAATGAATGTATTGTTAACCTTTTAACTGTCATGCCTGAGATAATCTCGGGCACAGCACTGGTGTTAAAAAATGTCACGCCCGAGTATTACTCGGGGTAATTTTTTTTTGAGTGCATCGTATTGTTATACCCAAATATATATCGAGAGACGTTTATTTCGGCTTCATCTCTTTGTCAAACCCGACTATATCTCGGGAAAAGTTAATGTGCGCTTAATTCAATAGATGACAGCACTTTACTGAAGATTTCAAAGGTTACAGGTTATAAGTTCTTTGGTTCAAAGTGCACGGGATCTTTTTGTTGTAAAATGGCATCCAGTTCTTTGAAACGTTATATAGATGATTTAGATTCTTCAACCGAAGATGAAGGATGTGTTTTTGATGAGCAGTATTCATGATACTTCCATGGTGAGCCTCAAAAATAAAAAAAAAAAAAAAAAAAATCTGATGTGTACACCACATGACTTCCTTGTATGGAATATTAAATTATACACATTTTTTCTTCCATTTTAATTAAACTTATTAGATTGAATTAAACCTACTTCGCCGACAGCGCGTAAACCACAATAGAATAAATGCATTCTTTAAAATTCACTTTGTTTACCATAGCGACACTCTGGCGCTAGGTTTACTTAACAGTATTATATTTCATTCATATTATAACTCGGAATGCACAAAATGTATATCATTTAAAGAATTATCTAATCGTTGCCACATGTTCCATTCATATAGTATAATAAAGCTAGAACTATGTATAAAAGAAATTAAGCAAATAAAACAAAAAAGAAACAGTTTTTCACATATGATTGAGTATTTCTCATTTAATTAATTCAGTTCTTACTTCGCGAGAAGGCAAAAATACATAAAAACTCAAAATATCTATATTAAAAATTACGACGTAAATCTCAAACGCTTATTTCCTCGAAAAAATTCCAGAAAGAATATATTTATATACGTTTGGTGCGGCCGATTGCAACCAAAATACGAGGTGTACATCTACATGTTATAGCAGTCCTATATACAAAATTTCAACGTTCTGAGGCTACTCGTTTTTGAGTTATGCGAGATACGTACGTACGTACATACATTCGTACAGACGCCACGAAAAAATTCTCTTCAGAATTAATTTTAAAGCAGTTTTATATTTTTTTTGAAGGAAAAGAGTATTTTATTCTGTCCTTACGTACAGATATCACGCAAAAACATCATTAAATTGCATTCGATAGCATTCAAAATGGATATTTACGTTGAAATATGCTGCCTGAAACTTTTCCCGATTACAATACTTCCTTTTTACTTCGTACAAGGAAGTAAAAATGAAGATATACTCAAACTGAAGGTTGTTTCTGACTATAGTCTAACTATGGGTGGTGTAGATCGCTATGATCAGGAAATATCCTTTCATCCAACAATTCGAAAACATCAGAAAAAAATATTATAAAAAGATATTTTTACATTTACTAGACAAGGTACTCTGGAACTCATATTTGTTCTATAAAAATGTAGTTGGGAAACATATTACATTTTTAGAATTTCGAATCCAAGTTGTATAAGAGCTTTTACATAAATATGACGATGCAGCTTCTGGACAAAAGAATGTTGGCAGACCACCTACAATAGATAACCCTGCCCGTCTTACTGAACAGCATTTTATTTCCCATATTCCTCCTACTCTTGTGAAACGTGAGCCTACAAGACAGTACAAAGTGTGTTGTTCGAAAAAGGATAAAAATGTGAAAAAGATAAGGAAGGAAACACGATTCTGGTGTAGTGATTGTGGAGTTGGTTTGTGCTTGGAAAAGTGTTTCCAGTTATACCACACTAAGACTTGAAATATTGAACTATTCAATAGGTATTTCATTTTTATTTTTTTCATTTATTATTTTTTAGAAAATAATTAATTTTTTTTTTCATTTTTAGAAAATAATGCTCCACTAGAAGCGAACTTTACCAACTGCCATGTTGAGTGGCAGCGGCCACCTCAAGCAAATATACAGTGCTACAAGACATTAAAAAATTTTTACCCATGTACTTCAAAATATCAATTTTTAACTACTTAAGTATATTTTATTTTGTACTAAACATTTGATTTTTCCAATAAAAAAAATTGACAATTTGTGTGCCCAAATCAACAAAATAACTTGACAGTTAAAGGGTTAAACGTATGAAGATAATGAATAAAAAGGCTACTTTTAAAAAAAGTTAGCTTTATATAATTTGGTACTCTTCTGTGATTGGGACCAGATTCAGAAATGTAAGTGTATATGGATGTATGTGTTCATGTGTGAACGTATACATATACATACATATGTATACACATACATATATATACACCTAATAACATACACACATGCTTACATACACATATTTTTTAATCCGGTCCCGACAACAGAAGAATACTCATAAATTATAATGCATTATATTAAACAATCAAAGAGTAGAGAAAATGCCGCCAAAGAATCTAGATTAATTTGTGTTTTACTGTTGTGAATTAAATTAAAATATACTAATTTGAATTAAAAGTAAAATATACTTCAAAGTCGTGTTTGTAATTATTTTATGATATTTTTTGGCACATCTCATTATAAATGGACACATGAAAATTAAGATGACTTTTAAATGTCTTTTTATATTGTTATTTTATTTTTTAATAATTTATAATTTAAATTAGATGGTGAAGTACCTTGGAGATCTCCTAATCCACCAGATGTATATTATAATGACCCAAATTTAGCTGTGAATGTAGGAGGTGCTTTTTGGGCAAGATCATCTGCTCTGTTGCTGTATTATCACAGGTATGCATTTTAGCATCACAGGTTTATGCATCACAGGTATGCAATGTCCACTTTTGTAATAGCAATAGGACCGTTGTTGTAAAATTGTAGCATAGGCTTTAGGATAGAGTATTTTTTCCCTGTATGTCTCATCATACATCTCCATGAGAAAACATATCAGGGTTCAGATAATTTGTATTTGTCAGGCAGCTGTTAGAATGAGAGATTTATTACATTTTAGAGAATAACCATTTCCTTCTTAATTATTCATGTTTGAACTGTCTGAATAGTTTATTATGGACAATATTATGTTTGTAAACCTAGCAATATCCATAAAAAATATGTCCTGCGTGTCTGTTTTTCATATATCAGTAAAAGAATAATAAAATAATTAAAAGAAGATGGATTTGAACATTTCTGCATTAATCATAATTTCATCAATCCGAATACTGTTTGTCGTATGCAAACCATTGAAAGATTATGGGGCAGTGTCAAATGACAAAATAAATGTCAGATTAACTCTGCCCATAACCAATTAGATTCTTATTTATTTGAGTTTATATGGCAGCAGCTACATCCTAAAATTCAAATGTTTGTAGACATTTTGAGTAATATCCTCTGAGTTAATTCACTTACCAAATTTGTTTTTCTCATTATTTGGCTAGTTGTATAGTTTTCATTAAAAATTTCCAATTTTCCAAATATCTGTGGATTTCTCAATTTAACCATATCGTAAATTTTGTCAGTTATTCTTATCCTTCAAATTTTTCACAGAATCTTCAGCATCGGGCAATGTTTGAATCTAATCCCCAAAAAAGAAAACCAGTACCATTCATTTAAAAAAAAAATATTAGGCAAAAAAAGTGATTTTGAACGATTTATTAGAAGGTTTGTTTAAATAATGTGTTTTGTTGCTTTCCAAATATCTGTATTCTTATGGAAAGTAGCCAGTTTATTGGTAACTTTGAAAATTTGTTTGTTTTGTTATCTTTATGAGTCATAGGCACTACTGTATTCATAAATAAAACAAAAAGAAGCCTTTTATAAAAAAAACAAGATGTTTTATGAGGAAAAAAACAAAAATCTGTGTGGTCAGTATTATATTTTTACAGCCAGTGGATACTATATTTATATTTTTACAGCCAGTTCATCTATAATCTTCAAAATTTTTTGAAACAATATTTTTCTTTTGTTTGCTGAGCCTTTTGCCGAATAAATTCAGTAAGACAGATGAAGAAGTGATGCCATGCTGGTCCTTTTTGCTTCTCCACTTGAACAAACCCCTCCACTTGAACGAACCCCAAAGTTATTAAACCTGTTGTGTGTAGACATTACTTTTCAGGCTTCATTTTTTCAATATACTTGTAACCAATTACATGTAGTTCTTGGTGCTAAATTCTTTCCAGCTATCAGAAAAGATAGCTGTGCCTTTTTTGGTGCACTTTTTGATTTGTGCACGATCAGTGTTGCTGTGATTCTGTCTGGAATAGTTACCAGAAAAGTTTCCTTTCTTACATGCCAAATTCCTGTAAAAATCCATTACAGTGGAAGGAGTTGAACAGCATTGTTTTTGTCTCTCATTAATACATTTTTGTTAGTTCTGAAACTTGTAATTTGGGATAACAATGTAAAATATATCCATAAATAGAAAAATGTATTGTGTAAGTAAAAAGAATATTGATGAAATCGATAAGCCCTTTAAGATATGTAATATAATAGTATTAGAGCATCTTTATGTATATTCTTTAATGTGCTATGTTTATTATTTAAGCTATCTCTTCAGAAAGAGTATGAATAGTGTATTTTTCTCTTTTTGATTCTCAAGCTGTTAATGTAGTAGAAAAAATGCAAGCAAATATGGTATTCCTTTGACCAACAATAAATCTTATGGAAAAAAGAAATGGCTATCTTCAAATGAGTTTCTAACCCACATTCTAGCATTTGATTGCAGTTTCTGACATTGCATTTAACAAATATCAGAAAGGTCATTTAGGAAATACAGCTTCATAAAATGAAAACTGTTGCATTCTCTGTTGCTGGACTAAACACTGTATTTCTGACAAAATGTAACATTTTATTTCTCATTAGCTAATCCACTAAACACCATAGTGTCAATATGATTCGCTTAAAATGTACCCCCCCCCCCAAATAGCCATCAAAATGACTGTTAAAGTACATAAATCCTCATGTTCTCAAACACATGTATGGTACACGTATGCATGGGTTGGCAGTAGTTGCATAAACTCTGTAGTTCTACTAGAGGTTAAAACTGAGAGTATGGATAATCAGAAGTACTTATATTTTTATTATTTGGCTTACTCAATAGTTTTAATTCAAATTGCCCCAAAGGAAAAAAATTGCATGCATTGAGATTCAGTGAATACAATGGCTAGTCCATACCCTTGCTGTTGCATGAGAGTAGTGCCAAAATATTCTTACAGGAAAGTGAAAACATGCAAGGCACACCTAATATTCAGTTCTCACCAATTAAAATATGTAATTTAAAGATTTAATTACTAGACTGATTTTTGTGTAATGGTTATCTTTACATTTGTTGTGGAGAAATTTAAAGTTTTTACCATCTGTGCAAAAATTTGTCACATTATACTTAAATTTGAAAAACTGAATTTTTACATTTAGGCAAAAGCCCATCATATTATAGTTCATAACATTATATTAAAATTAATAGCTTATTTTAAAATATTTTTTCAATTCAAATTATGGTTTCTCTGCAATGTGTGCTCTTCTGTTTTAAGCATTTTACTCACATGTATCATGATAATAGTCTCAAGACTGATAGGTAGTTGAAGTTCCATAGTAACATATATTCACACAATGAAAAATGTTATGAATATCATAAACAATTCTTTTGTCATTTTACTATTTACATGCTTTTTAGAATTATCAATCATTTAAATGTGTATTTTCACATTTCTAATGGTTTTTAAGTTTATGAATATTAAGTGATCAATGTTTTAATCCTAAAATTAAATTCCATGTAAATTCCAATTTATTTAAGCTGTTAGATATGCATATTGAGTTCAAATAAAAAAGCAACTTAATTTTTTGTTTAATTAGTGAATTGCATTTTAATTTTTAAATGAAGATAAAATACATATGGGTTGTTTATTTTGTTGGATTTGGCTTAATGATTTTCAAGCATTATGAACTTTAAAAATATTTTTCAGTTAACGAATTATTCTTCATATAGATGGTTTAATGATAAAGATGAGAAAGAAGAAGCCATGATTTCTTTTGATGGGTGAGTATATATTGATGATTTGCTAGGTGTTATATTATTATAATATCAGAAATATAATATTGAGGTTTTTCCACCACAATATTAACTGGTGAAGCTGTGCAAACAAAAATAGAATAAATCTAATATCAATAATACCAAAAATGTAATATTGTGTTTTTTCCTGATATACTTTAACTATCAAGAATTCAGCTAAATCATAGTCTAAGTTAACCTTAAATTTAAGTGCAAACTCTGTTAACATTTTTTTATTATAATTAGTCTGATATCGCATTGTGTTGTTTTTACCTCCCCAGGACCGTGCTCGTGAACTGATCAGATGAATGACTATAAAAAAAGAGTACATAATACATTCTAACCTTTAACTAGCAAATTTATTTCATCTTATGAATCAAAATGAAGTACATTATTACTTTTTTTTTATACATCTGAAAGTTCTACCAATATCACCAATAATTATTTTAAAAAAGTTTATTATATTTTTTTCTTTTTCTTAATTTTCCTAATTACAGTTTTTGCCTACAAATTGAAATTCTGTAGTATGAAGCTAGAAACATTGACAGGAAATTACCATGAGGAACATTATTATTATACGATAATAAAGGCAGAGTTACCCCACAAATTTTCTTTAATACTACCTCATGGTTAACATTAAGCCCTAAGAATACATACGAAGGCTTTTCAGCTAAGTCTCGTTCTTAATTATTACAATGCTTAGGAAAGAAACAGGAAAAGGTTTTTGGTAACAAGCAATTTCTGCTGACAAGTTAAAGTTCAAATTTTGTTGATTATTTTCAGATTTTCTGAGATTCTTTAAGCACTCATGATGAGCCAATATAACACTTCTTAATTCCTAAGCATGAATAAAGAGGAAAAGGAAGAAAATTGTACTTATCCCACCGAACAGTCCAAGGTCGAAACTTGCAAACCCGAAAACTCTAATTTCCAGTCTAAAATATTACTGACATATTATTACTCTGATATAAAACAAATATTTCAATCTATTTCTTATGTATGTAGATACTCATACTAATTTTTATTATCATCTTCCTCAGCATGAAACTCAGTTCTTCTCATGGAATCCGAATAGTTGAATTTAGAGATGCTGAAGGCACCTCATGTCATCACATTGAGTTTTTAGAGGGAGAAAAAAAGACAGTTGATTTATCTTTATGTGATATATCTGAATATGCATCTGACAGAACTCAAACTGTATCATTTGTTGCAGAAGATAGTATGGGTAATGTATTTAAGTCAAAATTAGATATAACTCAGTTGTTATTTAAGAAGAACCAAACTGTTTAACACAAATTCATATAAAATTTGTTTTTAGTTATTGTTAGTTCATTGTGCATGTTAAAAAATATTATGCCATTCACTTAATACTGAAGATTTTTTTCAAGTTAGACAATTGATTTCTTTATTAAGCAATAAATTCATTACCATCATAGAATAGGTTTTTTTTTGAAGAATTTTTAACTGGAGGTGGGGGAGGGAGCAAATGCAAAATTTTTTAGATCCATGGAGACACTAAGGTGCCAGATTTCATTATGTATTAGAAAATTAGTATTAAAATTTTTAACTGTTTTTCTGGGGTAAAAAAAATACCTTTTTTCAAATCTCTGAGAAATAGCTGATAGTGATAGAAAGTAAAATTAAAATTTGCTCCAAATTCTAAAATTTGAATTGATTTTTTCAAACCCAAATTAGTAAGCACCATAGGTTTTTGGAAGCCAGTTAATTTAGATTGATTATCATGACAAGTCACATAGTAGCTATATCTTAGAGATATGCAGAAAATGCAGCATTATTCACTGTGAATATCAAAATGAATTTGCTTCAGCCCAGAGATTTTGCTTTGTTCCACAAGATACCTCTGTATGAATTAGTGGATCTTCTTATTTGCCCCATGGTCACAGCGGTCAATGAACACCAAGCCTTTCTTGTGCTATAATTTAATTAATTGTCTGGCTTAGAAATCAAAATAATTTAAAATTGTATGTAATTAGTTTATATTTTAGGGACTAATTAACTATGAATTCCATTTATTTATTTTATGTGACTGTCACAAGTTATGCAAAGCAAATAAAATAGAACAACCAAATAAATAAATGGTTAAATTTTCTTTTTGCATTTTTATTTTTATTGTTGTCATACGGAAAATTATAAAGGTGTACAATAACTGATTGAACAAATTTAGTTTTTAAACTGTATGTTGTAATATTTAAAATAAGATGAAGTGAAAAATTGTAATATTTCTTAGTATTACAAAATTAAGCATGAAAGATTTAATTTAAATTCAAAGAACATTAATTGTAGAAGATGTTAGTATTTTACTTGAATTTATATAATTGATAAAAGTAATTATTCTGGAATAAAAGTAATGTAAATAATTTTGTTGCAGAAATATGTAAAACTGAAATGAAATATTAAATTGTGATAAATAGTAAGCTTTGATAAGATATGCTTGAATCATTATTCATATATTTCTTAAGAAGCATTTATCTTAAATTGGTTCTGTGTTATTTTAAAAAAATTTCTATGTGTTTTTGTGTCATATTTTTCTGTTTGTTTATTTATTTAATTATCTATGTGCTATGTGTAATTATTGCTAAATATAATATGTAATTATTGCTGTGTGTTTTGTGATGTGATAATGCATGAAAAAACTTCAGGAGAAAAACATGTGTTGTTAAGTATGCATTTTTTATTATATTTTATGTTGATAAAATGTATTTGTTTTATTTAATGATCTATAAAATATTATGATTTTTAGTGATAATATAGTAAGAGTCTCTTGTTTTGGTACTATGAGTTGAGATGCCTGTTTTTTAAAGTGTTTATATTTCTGAGTTGGTTGTAACAAAATCTTATTTATATTTGAGCTGTGTGTATGAAGATTAGTAAAAATTCTTTTTGTAAAAAAATTCTTATTGTTTAAAAATAATTTTCAAATTCTTTCTGTTAAAACTGGCTGTTAAAAATGATTTCATATTATGTTTGTGAAATTGAAAATACATTTTTATGCTTGGATATTTTAGATAAGATACTTGTTTCATTGTTGTTACTTGTTTTTAGATAAATTTGGATAAAATTTTATATTTATTTAATAATTACTGTACAGTGTTTTCAGTTGTTATTTGCAATATCAGTCACATGATTAATTATCCTGCCATGAAACGTAGGAGTTGATTTCCTGAAATTTAGATGATAAATTTATTTAATTTATACAGTTAATTCATGTAACTAAATTGCAAAGTACAGTAAACCCTCTCTAAGACAAATGTCCACAGTTTCTGATTTTTCCAATCGGCAATATTGATAATTTTCAAACTCTGTTTATGGATACTTGATTATTAATTCCTTATAACTGTTAAATGTGTCAAGTCATTATGTTATATAGATGCAGGAACATAAAAAGTGTGCAGTGCACTCACTGGGATTCGAACGTCAGATTTCCTGAATATGTATTAAACATGTTTCCAGTTGCATCATGAAGGCATTTGGAAAGGAGGCAGAAAATACCTTATAAAGGAAATCAAATTGGCTTTAATTGTTATTTTGTACATACACATTAAATTCTGTTTATACATGGTACAAAGAAAATAATTATGCCTTTTTCCTAAAAAGATCTGTGTTAAAGAAGCGTATAGTGCGTATGGTATAGAAAATGGGTTCCAGACGGGGAAAAAAACACTTCAAATAATAAGTTATTTTCAAGAAAATTATGCATCGAAATCTGTAATAAAATAATTTTAATACATTAAAATATATTTTTTTATTTTTATAAACTTATAAAAGTTATGCCTATTTATGAGTTTTCATTATTAAAATAAATTGAAGTTAAATAAAAAATTGTTTAACTATGTTAAATCAAAATTATGTAAAAATAAGCATGTAAAAGAGAGCTGGATGTATTTTAGTGTGATTAAAAGTCCAAAAGGAAGCTAATTTACATAAGTTTGTTGTGTAAAAATTGTAGATAATATTTGATGCAAAAATTTATATTCTGAATAGTCTTCTTGCATGAATAGTTTTGAGCATTACCATTTATTTTTCCTGTTGTAATATGTAACCTGCATATAATTATGGAGCTGTAATAGACCACCACATTATTTTAAAGATAATGTTCTGCCTGATCAGCAGAATTAGCGATAAAAAAAGATGACCATCAAGTTATCACTGTACTCAGTGTCTTCTGAGACTTATGAAGTTTTACAAAATGTTAGACATAACATGAACATAAACTATGAAAAAAGTTTTTTTTTAATAGATATAGTTTCAATGGAAGTAAAACTAAGAAGCAAGGAAAAGTTTTTTTTTTTTTTTTTTTTGTTTTTGGTAAAGTAGTTTTTTTAACTAAGTATATTAATATTAATATTTATTTACGGTTTGTTGCTTATTGACAATGTGTAATTGTTTTTACTAGGTTATATCGTTTTCTTCATTTTTCTGTTTTTTATTTAAACATTGCTTTCCATATTTCTTTCTTGCCCTATAATCATAAATTCCAAATATCATAACGTATTCAGTGAATATGACTTGAAATATTACTATTTTCCTTCTTTTTTTGATGAATTAAAGAAAATCTATGCTACTGAAATTTTATACCTTAAGTATACAGATATAAAATTTTCATCAAAGCAAGTAATTAATTGTAGTAACTCTTTAATTTTCTTTTATAAATTCTAGATTTTCAACTATTTCTTAACTTGCATATTTATTAATGCTGCATAGAACTGGTATTGAATTTTTTTTGTAATGCTATATTTTACCATTATTATGTTTTTATTGGTAGATACTGCTTTAATTGTTTTGAATTTTTGTTGCAGATAAGCTGTTCATATATTTCAAATATATAATTGAGGGAGAAATCTCATACATTTTGGGTGGGTTTATATGCTGTATTTTTATAATATGCAATAAATAGGCTTCTTTATTTTTTTATGGTGTGTGTGTATGTGTAGTGGTGCACATGTTTTTGTTATATATATAATAAATTATTTTGAAAGATAAATATTCAACATATAAATTATGTTTTAAATTATATGAGGTGTTATAGTTTATTTTTGAAAATTAATCAAATCAGAATCTGAATGCTCTGTCCTTTGAATGAGAATTTAATGCTAATTTTTACGTAAGATTTTTTACATCACTCATTATCACACAGTCTGATTTGTGTATTGACAACATAAGGGGAGCAGTATAAATAAAGATTTGACAAACTACATTTTCAAAAAGGGCCTAGGTATTGTAGTCTTATCCTGAAATTAGGAAAACTATATGGAGACTTGAAATTGATAAGTTTTCAGAAATTTTTTTTTTTCAGCCACACAAAACAGTATGCCACCATGTGAAACACACATTGTTCAGTTTATTTGTAAGCAATATTTCAGAAACTTATTGATATTACTCATCTGTTTTCTGCATATGATATTGTCAACTTTGCTGAAAAGGATCAGTTAATAACATAAACTAGCATAACAAAGGTACTTTATATTCGGAGTTGTAAAGGGCTTAAATTCAGCTAGAACCTGACTGAATTAGACATTTTAATTGAGCAAAATCATAATTACAGGTGAAGCATATTAGAGTATAATTGAGCTTTGTTGTGCCCTTGAATCACAGTATTAGTACCTGTTATTAATGCAACATTTCTCTTAGCAGTTACTAAAATTTTACTTGAACATATATATAAATGTGTGCCTTACTAAAAAAAAAAAAAAAAAAAAAAAAAAAAAACCTTAACAGCGTACTTCCCATCACAAAAGGCTGTCCTTTAAAGAAGAGAGTGTCATTTCAAGACTATATAGCCAGGCATTTGAAATTAAAAAAATTTATGATAAGATCTAAGCTATTTAACTGAACTCTGTTTTCTGAAAGTTAAAGTTGATGAAAAATCCAAAGGACATTATGGTTGATAAAGAAACAGAAAAAAATCCTCTTTTCATCAATTCTGAAAATGGATTAGATAACAGTCTGAAAGTAAATTCACTGAATTTTCATTAAATAATGGATCTTGGGGATAAATCTTAATCATATATCAGAGGATTATAAGGAAAATACGGTAAAATGCTGGCACAAGATGAGAAAAAAAATGTAGCTTGGAGTGGGTCCAAAAATCCCACCAGCAGCTGAGTGGCAAAGTTGCTGAACACTGGTAGTTTTGTCTGGGCACGAATCCCGGTGAATGAGCTGGCTGCATGGATTTTTTTCCCCATGTGTAACATGGATACGAACCAGTTTTCCTTAAAAGTATTTCATGGAGCATCACTCCCTTTGATGAATACCATTGTGTGCTGTGCAAAGAATGGAAAAAAGGTGTCCAAATAAAATTTAGGTAGGTAAAAAAATTAGCATTATTTTTATTATTGAGAGAAAGAGCTTCAAACGTCTGATGATGGCAGGAAAAAATTAAGAGAAATGGAAGACTTTTTAATGATTTATATTGACATTCTCATGGGGAAAATCACAAATCACTCCGCAGCCAGTTTGTTTGCCATAATTTGATCCCACTTCAACTACATGCAATTAGAAGTTTTACTGCCTGGGCACTGGTGATCTTAATTTTTTTTATACGTGTAATTTGATTTATTTCGCAAATTGTATGTGGTGTAAAATAGATAACTGCTGTGAAAATTTTTTATTACACCTCATCTGTGCTATACATTCAACTCATGCTCTGACTAGATTTAATTTTCTTCAGTTCTGTTGAACTTTCCATTTTAAATTACTGTGTGTTTTATGGCTAAAATGTGTATCTTATTATTTCCTCATTCTTTCATATATTTTTGTTGAAAATATTGATCATCTTGATGATATTCAAAGTTTCAAAACTGAATTTTGAAAATCATGAAAATTGACAAATAGTGTTGTATTGCCTATTCTATTAATTTCTTTACAGTTTTCTAGTTGTTTGTCTACAGAATTCTCTTATTATTGTATATTTCTAGCTGAACAGTTTCATATATATTAATTTTAGCTGTTTATTTACAGAATTCTTTTATTATTGTGTATTTCTAGATGGACAGTTTCATATATATATTTTTGGTTGAAAGACCTTCCTTGAAGATTAGATTAGTCTATAGAAACTTGCATCTCCTTTCAGAAAATGTATAATATCTTAAAAAAAAAATTGGCTCAGTTATGGCATCACAAATTTGATTTGGTCTTAATTTTTTATGATTACTTTACCATCTCAAATAGCCATGTGCTGAATTTCTGGCTTTAATTTGTTGATAAAATTTTAACTCACGGTGATTTGCTAATTACTTATATGATGTGGATGGATTTATAACTCTGAATTTCCAAATAACATGCATTCTTTTTAACTGGCATATTAACCTAACATACCGTTTTGTGTCTTTTTGAAATTTAAATAGAAGATATTAAAATGTACAGTTTAATAGAGTTTTAGGTAATCACTTAAGAGAAAAATTTTAGCGAACAAATACTTGAAAAAAAAAAAAAAAAAAAAAAAAAGGGGGGGGGGGAAACTGACAACAAATTTAATAAGCTTCTTTGAGGTGTTAATGAAAACATTATTTGCATGCATTCTCTCTTGTACTTATCCCTAACAAAATATTTGCCTGTACCATATGATTCATTTAAAATTTATATAGCTATATCGAGGAATATTGCCATAACCAAACTAACTAAACCCTTCCCAAAACGTTTTCTGTAGTATTCATCATACTGTGAAACTTCGTTTGTCTGTTAGTTACGCGCAATAAATAATGAAAATCCATCTTCAGCATAGCGCATTTTAAACAATGAATGAAAGTCAAGATAATTGAAGTGGTTATTTAATAACTCCTTTGCTTTCGTAAGGTGTAATGTGTCCGGAAATTATTATATGTATCGTAAAATAAATCCAAAACCGTCTTTTAAGCACAACAAGAAAAGTATCAGATATCGTTAACCTGACTCATACGCTTTCAAATTGAACTGAAAGAACATTTTTTTGTTTTGTTGAAGTTTCATGTACATGATGCTTTACAAATTGTCCGGAAATTATTCTTGAACAGCATAGTGTCCCATGACTATCGAACTTCGAACGGCCATTTTTGACGGAGAATTTTTCGTGTATAGTTTTATTTGACAGTACAATAATATACACTGGTGGTCAATTGCTGAGGACAGATGACAGTAGCAGCGATAGCAACCATAAAATGGAGGGCAGGAAAATTCGGAAATTAGCATAATTGCGGGATACAGTAAGACGTGTTGTGTGTATGCAAATTTTGGATTGCCGAAGTTGTTCGACACATGTTAGCGCTGATAAGAGATGTAAAGGATTTGATTGATTTTTGTTGTTCGAAAGCAAAATTTAACTGGAAAATATCAATAGAACTTGCAATTTTCGGTATGTCTTCCCGAGATCACATGATTTTACGCGTGGGCGTATTTTTAGCAAGATTGAAGGGCGAAAAATAACAGATGTTGCTAGGGACGTCGACGTCAGCCATACTGTTGTTTCAAGGCTATGGAAATAATTTCAAACAAATGGAATGTGTAGCAAACTTCACGGGGAAGGTCGTGTTCGGAGTACGACGCCTGCAGAATACAGGCATATAGCGCTATCGCAAAAAAGGGTTGGCGCAGCACAGCTACTGAAGTAGCAGATCAGTTACTTGCAAGCGAATCTCTTGAAAAACTGTAGCCAGGCGTTTGCAGCAAGGAGGACCATACGCGTTGTATGCGTTCCATTGTCTAGACATCGTCGTTCCGCCCGTTTGCAATAGTTTCATCAGCATCGCAAAGAGGGAAGACGGCTTCTCAGATGCCCTACTATTCTCAGATGAATATAGGTTCAGTCTCTCTTCTGATTGTGGATGACAACTAATGTGACGTGAGAGTGGTACTGCCCATAATCCGGCAAACATATAGGAAAGGGACCGATATTCTACATGTAGTGTCATGGTATGGGCTGGGATCATGATCAACAGCCGTACCTCGCTTTATGTGCTTACAAATGTGACTACGCGGCCACCGAACATAATGATTTCTGCTGCCTATTCGCAGTTCGTGTGCATCGGTGATAAATTTTTCATGGACTACAAGCACTTTACGAACAATCGCGTCAGGATGTAGAGAAAGAAATTATTCCTCGTATGGCCAGCACGCTCTCCAGATATGAATCCCCTTGAAAATATTTGGGATGCCTTGGGGAGGAGTCTTACTGCTCGATCAAGGATCAAGGAAGTTAATTTACGGAGTGCACTAGGCTAGGCCTTTAACTCCACATCATCAGAGATAAAATAATTACATCAAAGAGGGGGTCATCTAATAAGGGAAAATTTTGAAGCCTAATTATAAAAATAAAAGCTTTTCAGATAATGCCTTCCGCATGAGAAAAAAGGAAAACTCTTAAAAAGTCTTTAAATTAAATTTCGTGTCTAAAAAGGGCCAGGAATAAATTTTGAGAGAGGAGTCAACATTCAAAAAGTTTTGAAAAGAATAAAAAGGTGCAATACATTTCCT